TTGATCGGCAGGTTAACAGTCCGTGATTCCGTTTCTCCTTTCACCAGCAACTGGAATTCTTCTGATTCTGTTACGTTCCGTATTAATAACCGTGAAGTATAGCAGTACGGTACAATCGTTGCGGGACCATCTCTATGCAGACGTACCTAAAAAGCAAAAGGTTCGACGAGCATCTGTGAATGTCATTGAACAGAAGTACTACCAAAAGAACATTTGCTAGACAGCGCGGATTGAAAAAATCCTCAACATGAAAAATCACTCGCGTCTGTCGATTTGTCTGTCATAAAATTCAGTAGCAAAGCAAAAGGAGTTTGGATGGGGCTTGCAGCAAGACCACATATGAGCACGTATGAGCGAGTGTTACTCTACTCACAGGGGGCGGGATATGCACAGAAATGGGAGGTGCCTAGAACAAAGCTTCCTATTTTGGTTTCGAAAGTCTATTACGTCAGGAACTGGTCAACAAATCAGCGCTGAACTCATGCGCGGTAGGCGGAGCTTCCTTAAGGTCGGGGGTGTGCATTCAACATAATTTCACAACCCAGTTTCAACAGGGCGTAAAGTCCACAAAAAATTGTTGGAATGAGTAAAGCCTAAGGTGAAAGTGCGTTCGCGAACTTAGCGATGATTCCAACCATGATGGGCGGAGCATCCTCATAGTGGGCTGTACATTCCAGATGAACCACAGCCGATAGGCCTGGTTCCTGATAACGTGGTTTATATCAAGAACTTCATAAATCTGCCTTGGGCGTTCTTCGTTGTGATGCAGTCATTAGTGTGCGCAACCCAATTGGTTTAGTTTCGTGTAGCTGCTTGTGACCATAGCTTTTAGATTTCAGACGTGTGGTGAGGGTGTTAGCGATCGGTCCTCGCCATTAAATCATCTATCGTAAGTGTGCACCAGATGCTTCAGTTGGAGATGAAAAATAAAGCGATTACCTTTTTCGGGTGGAGATGCGTGGCCGAAACATGAGAACTTCCTCCTACATGAGGTGTAATGATCGCATCAGGAGTCAACCAGAAGATCTCTGGTTTGGGATTGGCACACACCTATTAATAGAAAACATGGGTTTACCAAGACTAGTGAAACGTAATTGGAAGCAACAACAGTGCTCTATACTTACCTCTACTTCTATGTAACCTAGATGGCCAAACGGTAGATGATGGTGTACTGTTGCGACTTTTTCTATTCCGACCACATTGATATTGAACTCAGAGCTGTAAAGGAACTCAAGGTTTTACTCAGGCATGGAGCGTTTAAGGCAGGAGATTGCTTTCTTATTGGGTGTGATAAAGTAGAAATTGTTCACCTGATAGCTTTGTTTTTCTGCTCCGGAGTGGTTGCTTGACATCTATAGGCACCTGTCATTGTTAGCGAATTCGTTCGTAGTAAACACCTTGATCTGACTCGATGCTCGGTTTCCCTCGAAAGAGATATCGTTGACGTTCATCTTTAATAATTACTAATGGCCAAACTTATCTAAAGCTGCATAAAGGCCCAATCAGAACGCATCTACGGAATGAGGCCTGATGTCATGCGTTTGGCTTTAGATTGTGTTTCTCGGATAACTGTCACAAGAAATGACTGCCGCGCGCGGCGTACGTCAATCCGCACGTGCGAATTTGGTACCTAATGCACATGCTGGATGTTAAATCGCTTATCTTCTAATGAGTCGACCTTTATTTGTAAATCCATTTTTATTTACATGTTGTTTGTTAAATAGTTAGAGCTCAAATTACCTGCACTGTTTCGTTTCATCCTTATTGGAGCAGGCAAAGTCGACCCAGCTGATAGAATTTGGTGCCTTGTGAAGCCACGTTACTACCGCCGGCTCTGGTAGCGACGAAAACTCGCAAGACATATTCACAAGACCATGACCCAGCTTAAAACAATATTATTTGAAAGTTTAAGGTGGTTTGCGCCATACACTTATCTATCATCAAGTGCAGGGAGGGTATTGAATGGGGAAACCTTGACGAGCAATTTTATGAAGGGAAAAGTTACGATGTATGTAAACGGACTGTAAATTAATTCAAGGCAATCAAGCGCGCTGGCTAGCCAGAGCCCTTTATTGCAGTCAGAACCCGATTTCATGCCTCGAACTGTATAAAGCAACCAACAGGGACTAGGAATCCGCAACCCAGGCACCTTTCCATCATTTGGATACTGGTGTTGTAGTTTAAGACGTCATATCACCTATCGCACTGTTTGCAGAACCAATAATCAAATCTCTCCACCCTCCCATTTCCACACTACCTCCTTTATAGCTTGCGAATATTACTATTCATATTCCCCTCTTTGTCCTGTGTTGGAGCTTCCCCAATTCCTTTTATTAGTTTGGATTGTTTCTCCATTTCATGACACACCTTGAAGGGGGAACTTTCTAATAAGTTAGTAATTGCCCAGCAAGTAACACTAAATGAAAAGAAGCCAAGCAAACTCAGATGTTCCTCCAAACGGGCTTAAGAGATGGGTGCATGGCGTAATCAAAATAATCATCTTCAAGTAAATTACGCTGTTGTTCCCAAACCTCATATGTGCCAGCCACGTCTGGATTTGTTTCCTTCATTAGCCACACACCACACTGAGGCATTCGGTCCTAAAAAATGTATGTTCTGCTCTATTCTCGATTGATGAATATTTCTCAATCAGCTCATACCTGATAGCATTCTGACCTACAAGAATCATCGGCCCTTATAGCGCTGTTGACTAATAATAATAAGATTGATTCCAGGACGCGGAACATCTGGAAGATATGGCTATTTCGAGAACAGTAATGTTGTATGGAGTGCGAATCGAAAAAAAAATCCGTGTGTATATAGTGGACAATCCATGAAAAGGGGCAGAGGTGGTGTAGGGGCGAGTGACCCACTATCACACACGCATTGTTCGAGGCTTGATTCCGAATCCAATCCAACATTGAGTCCTTCGATCGAGTCCTTCGAGAATCACCGAATTGGTACTAGGCTCGTTTGTGAAAATAAAAGGAATGACTCGTGTTGGCTGGCCACCGCGAGTCTTTATATAGGCCACATAAGCATTCATAAGGTCACTACGATACTGAATGGGAATCGAATGCGAGGGGTATCCCAAAAACGGGATTGTTTAACGTCAAGGACTTCATCGTATTATTTATGAAGAGAAGTACAAATGGAAGCTGCTTGACTTTTGAACAAGCGCCCCCATTCAAGTAGACCGCAGAACTATTCTATGACCGTTGTAAAGACCGATTCTTCGCGGGGATCACACAATTATTATATCGTACCCTATATAATACTCTGCAGTCTGGTATATTGCTAACATCTGCATGTAACATCTGTGAAGGATGTTCAAAAGAAAAGCCTATGAAAATGAAAAAAAAAACTATGAAAAAGCCAGCAGCTGAAGATTCGTTAGTGATCTTTGTCCTTGAAAATCAGAATACCCATAAAAAGGACTCTACCGAATAGAAAAGGTAAACAGGGGAGAATTCAAGGAGAGGAAAGCGATTCCATGATTCGGCCCTTCAAAGCTCCAACGTGACTGAAGAAGTTGCGAACAGAATTTGACAGAATGGTGAGTCCATGAATGGAAGGATGCGCAATTCTCTCAATCAAATCCTCTCCACAACACACATCTAGTTCTATTGGCAAATTCTCCAGTACTGGAGTGCACAGTGCGGACTATGGGCAAGGCTTAAAACGGCGAAGCCTCAGTAGAATAAAATCATTAATTTGGGTCAAGACAGAAACTGCCAGGAGTATGACAAGATTACATAGGCTTTATATGTCGAGGCGAAAGTTCTTCATTCATTCATGTATAAAAATTATTTTAGTGGAAGCCTATGTGTGACAGAATAAAGGGGTTAAATCAGTATCAAGTGCAAATCATACCTCGAGAGAGTTCCGAACGAACAGGAGCGACCAAAAAGGGGAGGGCAACAACTGCAAGTAGAATATCTACAGTAGGTGGGAAGGCAATTTCTGCTCTTATCGTCGAAGTAGGGACAAGACGAAATTTCTCTCCTACAATTTCTTTTCCAATAATGAATTGGAATGAGACAGATGATGTTAGGCCAGGGCTTTAGCTCTACGGAGAAATTTTTATTGGCTTGGGTAGTAGGGGACCTGGACTCCATCCCCGCATCAAAGGGATGGAAATGCTTTACGTGGCACTACACCAAGAGAGCTTTAGGTTAGTAGGTGACCACTTGCCATGCCGAGACCAGATCTCTTTGGAGCTGCCAAATAGTAAGAAGCATGGAAACCCATTGTACTGGAGTAACACATGTGAAGACGCCTTTACGATTCTGGAATCGATACGGAGCGGTTCTTCAGAAAAGAGGTAATCAACACCAACAACTCCATGTTTTATACTCAAAGAATCATCTGGCTTAAGTCACTCGAAGCCACAACTGCACATTGCTGTAAACCGCTTAAAAACAAAAGGTGAGCGAAATTTATTAAAAGTAAAGCCTAGGCTGGTGATATGTCAGTGACGAGGAATATTGTACACGTAAATGTCAAATCAACATCGTAAAGCGGCGATGACGAGCCGAAACCCCGTTTGCCTGTATGGAATCGTAACGCGACTATAATGGGGTTGGAGTCGAAAGGGTAAAAATACGTCTTCAAAACCCAGCCCAAATGGTTTATTGGGAGGTCAGGGGGTCATTGAGGATAGCTAATCAGAAGCTCACCCTTTAAGGTTAACAGTATAAGCTAGTTGCAAGCGTAAATGAGACGAACTGATATTGTTTAACTATTGATTAGCGTTATCGGTCAACTTGCCGCCCATCTCAGCTGCTTAGAAATGCCACCCGTAAACACTGACCGCATATCAGGGACTACTTTACGTGCAATTGTTAAGACACTGACCAAGAGGGTGTAGAGTATATTCAGAAAAACTACCTGCCATGTGACTAATAACCTGTGGAGGCTCCCTTTACAATAAGGTAGTATTAAGTTGATAGCGTTGATCGAATGTTCACAATCCAAGTGTCGCACTACTCTTACTGCTACCTTTGTTCAGCAAGCTAATCTGGGCTCAGCATAATATTCTCGTTGTAGGTTTGTGAGCGCAACGCCCCTGCCCGTCTGTTCTGAAATTCGACATCATTTGGGGGTCATTCCTCTCACCTTTCATTACTTCTACTTGAGAAGTCAGCATGAATGATCCGATCGAAGTGAGGCATTGGTCAAATGTATGGAACACTCGGAACTTTGCAGGGAGTTGCCTCTGAAGAGTAGAACGTACGCTGAAAGCATGGAATTCAAATGAAGAAATCATCTTCTGGTCCCATGACACGCAAGAAAAAAGCACAATACATTAAATATCAGCAGTAATTACGCTAGTTGAATGCCGAGCATTGGATGTGGCAGTGGAAGTGAGCAGAACTCATCAGCAAGAGTCCTACCTACTTGCATTTTTTTATTTTCTGATTTATTTTCGAGTTTGTTCCTGTGGTAGTGCTAGTCAAAGATAGCACACTGGAATGATATCAGTAGAAATTTGCATTCATTTTAGAAGTAGTTAGTATTCTTCGCCGAAACAGAAACCAGTCCAGAATTCCGACTCTTTTTTAACACGTCCCAATTCTCTGTTTCAGCTTTTGAGCTTACCTTGACGTAAAGACCACTTTTCTGGCGTTTCTCTATCCTTCCACTTCCAAGCCTTCAGTACACACCGAAACGATGAAAATACCTCACGCTGCTATTATTTGCAAGGTTTTCCAAAAAGGTTGTTCAGTCACGAAATCCCATCCATTCATCTACAGTCATCTTTTGAACGTTTTTTCATAAATGACATGAAGAAGCCTAAGCTCAATCAAGTTCAATGCCAATATCCTCATCGAATATTATTTGCCGCCTTCTCAAATTTTCTGTCATGATATCTTTCTGCAGCAAACTTCTTTTTCCTCGAAAAAAAAGCGCCCAAGCTAGGGTTTTTCATACTGCTAGATACCGTAATTGAATATAATCCAACAGTTCTGTCACTCTTTCACATATCTTTATCATACAAAAGCGAAATGCTTTGCACAATGGAGATCACCGACAGTTTATATTTCTACTTCCTCTAGATCACAGAAAAAATAGCGAGTACATACCCAGCTTTTCATCCGATAAAGTACGTTAGCTTATTTATGAAAAATCAAAAAGAAAGCTTAAAACTTGAATGCTGAGCGCAGCTTGGTAAGGTTCAAGATGGAGAACGATGGCTATGTACCTCATGGAAAAGGGTGCAGTTCTCTGATACAAGGCAGATTATCGATCAAACACCGCTTTGCACCCACTTCGCTCGTGGCTCATTTACATCGATGAGTAAAATACCCAACTAGAACTTTCCGGACGAATTTCGCTACTAAGGGAGAGACCTCCTGCTTCGACTCGCTGGTGTTTCTGAAGGACTGAGAAAGAAGCGTTCCAAGGGTTTGAAGCCTTTTCTGAAGCCCGAAAATCAGAGGTTGCCTTCAGTTCATGCGGAATGAATAACAGAAAACACCAAGAAGTGCCTTAAAGCCACCTCGTATAGTTTCTGAGAAAAGAAGGACTTGGGATTTTCGGCGAAACGACGCGGGTGCATGTTTCGAGCTCCATTCTGCCTTCGTTTCGACGTAACTAAGAGTTGTTCAGCCTTTTTTTCTGACTACACGCTCAGCAAAAACCTCATGCAGGTCATGGCACAACGCTTCTACTCCAACATCCTACAATACAACAGCGTATGCAAGCCGGGGAATTCAACATAGGCCGCTGGGGAGCTCACCACAGTCATTGCTATTGCAATCAATCTAATTCCATCAACTTCTTTCTTTTCCCAGTGTGTTCATAATGTTGTTCACATAGTTTTGCTAGATCTTTTTTTGATTTTAAAGGCACACTTCACGATAATTTTGAGAAATCCAGATTATGACGAAAAATGGAGGATAAAATGGAAAAGAGTGCGATGAAGGCGAAGAAACGGCGTGAATCGGCGTTCCCAACGTGAAAAAAGGCTTCAAAAAACCGTTGAAAAGGGGGTTGACGAGAGTGAGACCAGAAAAAAGAAAAATGGTGCGTTTAGACGAGCTATACTATGTGTGTGAGTGCGTGCGTGTGGGTCCTGGTGCGAATAACTGACTAGGGCAGGCAAAAATCCATTTACTTATAAGCAAAGTTAACACAAAAGAATATCAGAACAAAAGAATAAGAGAAAATCATCGCTCCATTACTCGGCGATCAGCTGATTGTGTGTGGGTTCTAGAGCGAAAATTTGCAATGTGTACCGCCACGACACTCGTCTTACGTAACATCGACCGAGGGGCGGGAAGGGCGCGTGAGAAGGGGAAAAGAGCTTCCATTATGTCCTGGCCGTCGAGTTTTCGGGCGCGAAAGGGTCCTAGCTATTACCCTTGGGGGCCACTAATTATTGTTAGGGGAGGAACACAGTAACCATTTTATTGTGAACCGTGCCTTCAAACTATAACCACCGCATCAACGTTAAAAGATTATTTATCCCACGATTTTTATATTTGCGAATTGGATTGTGGATAAGACCCCGTGCGAAAATCGTAGGTAATCATAATCGCAGAATGTTACGGTGTTCACATACTTTTGGTACATACGGAAGAGATATTTCCAGATAAATGCTTCGTGAGCTGGTCGTTCTTATAGTGATATTCAGTGTCGTCACCCCTCGAAGTGAGTCATTTTCTCATCCTACCTCAGTTTTAGAAAATGCCAAGGACGTAGTCCTAGAAGATGGCAGATACTTCCAGAGTGTGCCAGGCATTCGAACTTTACTAAGAACTAAGACAGCAGAAAGCGAAAGCCAGGAATCGTCCGTACACAGAATCTCAGATACCCTTCTTAACGTGGATAATGCCTATATGTTATTCTTCACACCATCTTTCCGCCATCGTAAAAGCGACTTCCTTTTTCTCAATTACTAACTACGGCCCCTCCCAAACCTCTTTCGAATTTCTGGTCCTACAAAAATCGGCTTTTGGGTAGAACACACATGTAGCATACACACCTACATACCATTTTGATTCCGAGTGACCGTTGGAGGCATGGCTTAGTCCTAAGCTTTCGAACAACACAACTTTGTACTACTACTAACTAATCGATTACATTTCAGCAATTAAGTGCGGAAAAAATGAGAGATGGTACCAGTACGGAGTAGTCGACGAGCCTTGCAATCGGAAATTGTATGTGCTACCTCACACGTATCATCCCCCTGCCTGTGGATGCAAAAGAGGATACAAGAGAGGACCGGAAGGCTGCCAACTGCCTGGACCTGGATGCACATAACAACGAACATCATCACCATCGAAACCGTAACTATCATTGTATCCGTATTTTACTTTGTACCGAAGCCTTATAACATAATTATAAGACTTAATGAATAAACTCTACTTAATTGACATAGCCGCTGAATTCAACAGGTTGGGTCTATGTCTTGAGCTGGCCAAATCTTCTTGGTTGGAAAAAAATTTCGGGATTTATAGAAAACGCTTTTACGAAAAACTCAAGTAGTAGAAATCAGTTGATCTTTTTTTGAATTCGCTGAAGCTGTTTACGACCTTTTCCCACCCTTCATCCAACCTTTCAATGCCGTTCCACCAAAAGTTGCTCGACCGTATCGAAGAAATCGTTGGCCAATTCTCAAGTTCCTCTTCATTGTCAAAGAGTCAGGAGAGTGCGGCGGATGCTGAAGGATGTCCCATTCGAGCACTGGAGTGCAGCTTTGACGACATGCGTAGTATGGGGCCTGGCGTGAAGGATTATGGTTCGACCTTGTCGATTCGGTCTTTTCAATCTTTCATGCAGTGTAGCAATGCTATTTAGAGCCCTTTGATGACCTTGACATTCGTTGCAAGCATTTACCAGCATATCATTCCCTCCAAATCTCTATTCGTCGTAATCAGAAGGCTGGGCAAGCCGTCGACTTCGAAATTGCTATTTTCGAACTTTGCAAACCATGACAGCGCTGTATACTCACTCGCCTACGACACCTTGTCCCTATATTTCTTTTTTTTCCGAAGAACAGGCACGATTGGTCTCCTTGAAACACAGCTCTACGCACCCTACAAGGCTTGACAGAAACAAGGGATGCCACCAAGGACCAGCTCCAAAGCCATCCTATTCCCACTGGCACTGAACGTCATCACAGAACTCCTGGGTGAACAATTGACGACCAGACTGCATCGTGGCATTGTCCTCAAACAGATCCAGTTAGGAATCAAAGGAAGGACTGAAACAGTAGAAGAAGGTGTCGGAGAACAGGCCTCACTCAAATGAAAGGAAGACTCAGTTTCTCAGTGCCTGTTGCACCTACAATTTTCTATTTCGTTTCGGCATGTCTCCGAAGATGTATCAGAATAAATTAATAAACGCCGGAATTTAAGCCACATCCTTCAGATGCAAAACTTTCAGGATATTTGATCCAAACACGCAAATTAGAAAACCTTTTTTGTGGTCTAATTCACACGAAATCCCTTCTCTAACTGAGGATTACATGATGCAAGATACAGATTAAAGAAATGTGAATTTCTCTCCAAAGATCGCTCCTCTTGAGCACCTTATGCACATGCTTGGTTCTAATAGAAAATCGACGTTTCTCCACTGAACGGGTATCTTGTGTATCCTATCAAAAATGGCTGAATATCGAGAAAACCAGAACTAATAAATTGACCCCGTATGAACTACTGACCGAGGTTGTCCCTTACTTCCCTCGCATGCCCTAATCTGAAGCTTTTCTAAGATTCCTTGTCGTTGGAAAAGTGTTTTCTGAGTTCTAATATGACGCCAACACGCTAGCATTGACATTCTAGACGGCCTGGCTTTTCTTATCAGTACAAGACTTCTTGTCTCCCCTTTCTCAATGAATTCATCGACACGATTACCCCACAAATGCCGCATTCCTGAACTCATTCTATACCGAACAAACTTTCGTGTCTTACAGCTCCTTTCGAAATAATTTAAATTTTGATTATATATTCTCCCTTGTACAGCAGCGGTGCTCTACTTGTCGTCATTCATTCATCTATTATGGATTACCATAATTTTCTGTTGATTTGCTATCTTAAAATGTAACTTTACAAACTCATGTATATGATTTTATTTTGCACATATATTATATAAAAATTACATTTTTCAGAAGTAATACATATATTATTTATATACTTATATATTTATTAATCATTTTGCTGCTCTAATGAATATGGCAGAGACCTAAGTATGATCAAAACCTTCCTCACAAACCGCTTTTTTGAAAGACTTTTTTTTTTGCAAATAATTTTACACCTTCATATAAAAAACTTTTTGCACCCTTTTGGATAAGTTCCCAAGGAGCACCGTTGCAGCCAGGAGCATCGTTAGAAAAAATACCCTACTACATTTGAGCCAAAAACATCGATGATTCACGCCAAAACCTGAAGTTTACATTAATCTTCTAATATTGCTTATTTCCTACAGTAAATGAAGGATGGCGGTTATATGGCTGTCGTATGTGCCATTCTATTCGGCAACGATGATGATGACAAAGGCAAAGGGCTACGATTACAGCTACTCGAGCACCTTCAAGAAGTTAGTTCACAATCATAAAGCCATTTCTTTCGGTCATTGTTCTGTATATTGCCCTTTTTCACAGGTATATCCTCACATAGCTTCAAAACATGGTCAACTCCTCTCTCAATGTCTCCAGCTGGTTTGTGTTTGAAAAATCGCTTTCATTAAGTAGATAAACAAATGGATGATTCCGCTGGAAAATTAAATTTGCTTTTTATCGTTTCACAACTTTATGCTTATTATCTAGTATTGGGGAGGACGTGACGAAGTAGCAAGTAGCGCACTACCACACATGCATGGTCCGCGAATCGAACCCTGGATCGATGCTCACCCAGCCCTCCATTCCTCCTGATCGATTGACTGATATAAGACTAATGCGGGAAGGTAAAAGCAATGACTTGAACATAGCTGGCCACCGCAAGTCAATGGAAGTCAAATGCTGAGCGCGTTCAAAAACAGCACTGATCAACGCCTAAGGCTTTATCCTTTCATTCTTTTACTGTGGTAGTAATAGTAGAGAATTACTCCTGACATTGACATAATGCTCTGCATAACAGGCAGAACACTAACTTTAGCCACTTTCAGGTTCGCTATCAACTTGAAGTAATTGCACATCTCCCTTCAACACAGACCATGGTTCTTTACATATTCAAGTAAGTCAACCGCCGTATTTCCTTGAGCTTATATGTACATTTTTTTCAAACTATACATTTTCAGCGAAGAAACCTGCAGACAATTCGTCGCTAACACCGAAGAAACCTATACTTTGTGAGTACCTAATGCCTAACTTTGCAAAACGGAAGAAAGTGGAACTCCACACGTTGGTATTCGGAAAACAGAAAAACTTATATATTTGAGGATAAAATCATCCCCGAC